TACTCAGAGTTTTGCTTCAAAATGCTTGGTTCGGGCGAAACTAGCCGTTAGGCGAGGTGAAAAAATCTTCGGTGAGCCAAAACCACCGATATTTTCAAGTTCTGAATTTTTTCTTCGAGTCTTCCCGATTTGTAGAGGACACTTCGAAGTGTATGTTCGGAGGTTTTCTCGGGGTATTGAAATTATCTGGCTGAGAAAAAAATTAATCATTTAAAACAATATTGTTAAATTTTTGACTTATCAGACTTACCGAGCGACCAAAAATGAATTCTTAAATTTTTAAGGTAGACTATATTGTAGCCCGTGAAATGCTCTGTTAGATAAGGTATTGCTTGAATTTTTTTGTTGCGCTGCTATTTGACAAATAAGACTTTATACTAGTAGAGTAGGCTAAATTAATGTTAATCAGTACTAATTAATCAATAACCGGAAGGAAAGAACACAACTTTTTTTACATATTTTCTCGTCGTAAATATTCTCCACACATTTCTTCATCGATCTAGGCACAACCTAAGTTTTCATGATGAATAGAGAATAGACAGGAAAGTTTTGTAATAATAACCCCGTGCTCAAAACTTTAACAACATTTTCTTAAGTAATTAATTTTTTTCTCAGCTGAATAATGGAATTAAGTTGAGAAAACTTCAGAACATATACTTCGAAGTATCCTCTATAAACTGGGAACGCTAGAGGAAAATCTAAATGGAGGGACGTCCCCCTTAAACAGATAAAATAAAGCCTACATTGATATTTTAAAGCAGTTTGGAACAACTTTGTAACTGGCTTTATAATTTAGTAACAAAATTTGCCATTTTTAAATTCTAGCGAAAGTTCGTTTTTTCTATAGAAAAAACAAACTTTCGCTCGATGTTATTCTTGATATAACATATTCTTTTTCTCTTCCTTGTAGTACTTTGTTTCTTCGTAAGGAGTGTAGATATAAGTTATGAGACGAGGATACTGTGAAACTGAAGAAGCTGAATATTAATTTATGAAGAAAAAATTAGGTGTGTCTGCGTTATTCCATTCTTCATAACAAGTTCGTAACTCTGTCAAAATCAGTATACATAAAAATACATACATAAAAGCAAACAGTCATACGGTTCGAGTTACACTCATATATAAAGTAAAAACAAAACAAGAACAATTACAAATTTCAATGGCTGATTTGTATCAATATTTTTCAACAGATGCATTAGAATGCATATTACTAGAAGCGTAATACAAAAGTGAAAAGTCCATTGAAGCCGGTCAAAAGAAAATATCTTTGAAAACTGGGACAGATTTTTACGGAGGACAAATCTTCAATCTTCAATCACTGTTCCCCTTACGGGGGGATATCTGCCAATCCTGGTTGATACATTGCTAAGATGGAAAAATTGTTTATTTAAACGCTCATTTTTCATTTGTGTATTTGTTACTGTTAACGCTGGTTGACTTGGCACAATTTCGATTTTTTCGTTCCTGGTTTAGAAAAAGTGAATTCCTCGACAGGAAAGGGAAAAAGTCAGAATTTTCGAGTTATAACTTTGTTCGCCGATTCAAGGCGGTTCGAATGGCACAAGAATCAAGGCTCTATCTGTTATCCTGAAGGACTTGATGCTTTTTTGTCAGAGGGTATCGTTTCTGTCCCATGAGCAAGGCTCTTCCGAACTTTAAGAACACGGGTTCCTTTGCAGTTTGACATGCTGATTCTGAAACACTTTCTTTCAAAACCGTAGACTGAAAGTAGAAAAAACGACAGGAGCTTCATATAGTGAAGTATGCGTTTGTTCGGTTTTATCATCCTTCACGGTATTTCGGGAACTTCAGCATGAAGACAAAAGATTTTGTGGAGAAACAGACCACCACTAGGTGCAGCTCTTAAAACTTCATCAATCTATGTATAAGCGAAGAAAATCTGAGAGGTATCGTAACTATGAATTAGCGGCGCTTAGAACAATCTAAATTCTCCTGTAGGCAATCAACGAGACTGACTCGTTTTGAAAAATGGTATGTTATTGACTACTAAATCTGGTAATAACAGATCCAGTCAAGTTGGTCATTGTTAGTCGTACGTGCTATACTTTCGTGAAGAAAGAGCAACAAATGTTTTTTTCGTTCTGGGTCGAGTTCACGAAGTGCTGCTAGAGTTTTTGTACGCATATACAAATTTCGATCGTTGATCGAAGTCCATTGTTTTCCAACTAGAAACTTCGATATATCTTCAACATAGCTAGTAAAAACATCTTGTAAATGACGTTCATTAAAAATAGTCCATAAACGATAGTCAGTAAAAGACTGAGTTTACCTATCACACTTCTCAGATATCTAAGAAAAAGTATTTCGAAGAAGTAATAAAATGCCAAAAAAATGGTTTTAAAAGAAACAAAACAGACTTGTTACCCCTTTCCACCCTCTCTCACACATATGACCGTTCTTTATCCACGATCGGTTAGCTTGGTGTTTACGTTGTTGCGATTATGAGAAATACAATTGGACTAACCTACTGACGGATTTATAAAACATCGATATATCCTTCTTTACTGCAACAACCTGTGATGAAGCGTTAGAACTATGATGCAATCATGTATCTGCGTATATTGACCACTGAGTTCCATGGAAAAGTATTAAAGCTAAACCAATTCTCTTTAAGCACCAGTCGTAATTATTTTCATTTAAGACGCAAAAGAAATCAAGCTTTTCGGTTAAAAAAAGCAGAAGGTAAAATTGAGTCAGTCAAAAGCTGGAAGGAGTGGCGTAAGGAAGTTAAACAAACACAAAACTGCCCATTTTAACCAAATTGCTACCTCCTTCACATCACCTGTGACCTTTTGGGCCGCCATTAATCCAATAAGACAAGGTAGCACTAGATATAACCGACGTTTGAGCGCCCGACATTTGAGCGCCGATACTTGAGCGACCGACACTTGAGCGACCCCGACATGTGAGCGACCGACATTTGAGCGACCGACACTTGAGCGACTCCGACATTTGAGCGAAATTGCCAGCTCTAAGGAGTTTCGAGAAAATTTTCGGAAATAAAATGCAAAAACTGTTTTCGATTATCATCAGATTCGAATTCACCGTAATAAGTTTTGGAAGTCCAAAGAAACCGCGTCAGACTCACAACGTTTCTAGTCTCAGCGAAGTTTCGCTTCTTTTTTTTAAACTGCTATGACTAACAATTGACTGAGATCTTATTAATTTTAGGTTGACCAAGAAGAAGATTACAAACACCACGACGTCATCATAGAGTCTGGAATTTGAAACATTCTTTTTTTAATTTGTGAACATGCTTTTCTTTTTTTATGGAAAAAATATACTCAAGAGTATGAAGGGTTGTTTGCCTTTCACGCTAATGTGTCCAACAGAAAGAGTAGTATTTTAAACCAGAGTTCCTACTTTCTTTTTTTCTGCTGCTTTTGGGAACGCTGATGGTGCATTGTGCGTTCTCAGTTGTGGAAAAATGTTGACTCAAGTCGGTCAAACTTATGTTTCGCCGAATCTCAATAATCTGAAAGGGAGAAGTTAATTTCGGACAAAAAGCTTCTGTAAACTTTTGTGTCTCTTACACTGTACTACAGGAATATTTTATAGCAAATGTTGTATGATTTTCTAGTTATGACTATATAAAATCGTAGAAAAAATGGTATTTTCCAATTTCTGGAAAATCGTAATTTCTTTCCAGGAAGCTGGAAAATCGAAATCTTTCTCTAGTTTCTTGAGAATATTGTATAGAGGATACAGCGCTTTCTTAGCGAAATAGAAATTTGTATTTATAGAAAATCAAAGATCATTTTCTCGCAAATAGGAAATGGATATTTTCTGTAAAATAGAAAATATCTCAGAATGACAGTGTATATATTTATAAGTTGTCGTCAAAACAAGGTGAGGAAATGAAGTTTATCAGTTAACCGAGCGGTGCTTGTAAACCGTAATATTGGGAATATATTGCCGCTAAATCTACCGTTATAACCCACGCTTCGGTTAACCGACAGTTTTGAGCGGACTGGTTGGTAACCGGCTGTGTTTAAATAAAATTTAAGAAAATGGGTTAACTTACCTGTACACTCATGGTAAGCTAGAAGAGATGCCGCAGAAAAGCACTCAGCCGTAAGTGCGCTTAACTTTTCTGATTCGAACAACAAATACTATGATTAGAGAAGGTTTGCAAAAAAAATTGGTAATACCCAGTGTGCTCTAACAAGAAAACACGCGAGAAAAACTGAAAAAGTAGGTGCATGCTGGACTCAAAGCGAGTATAAATGCCTCAACAACTTTTTCTCTATCGGTTGTAGGAAAAGGACAATAGTGTCTGTACACAAACTCGAAGTGAAGTGGAATATAATAAACCGGCATTTGTTACCATTCGTTTTACTGTCTTTCTTTCTTCAAACTAAATTCTGGATTAGAGTTAACTTTTTTCACAAACCATTTCCTTATCGTCTGAACTGCAAGACTGGCTTTTGCTCGACTTATAAGTGACTGCTGTGACTTCTGATGAAATTGGGAACAAATCGTTTCCCATGCAATCTTTTTTCTATTTAGTTTTTGTGATTTTCCTTCCCAAGAAATGCGGTTCATATGATTTTTGATAGTGATCCTGGGAGCTGTCTTCAAAGAGTCTCAAATCACTAACGTGTAAGGTTCGCAGTTCGCGAACTACTCCGGTCAGTTTTTGACACAAATAGCATTTTTTGGGCTGTTAAAAACTCGGTTTTATAGCTTTTTAGTATAATATTCCTGAATCAAAGTTCTGTGTTAGCGATTTACTTTGCTCCCTGCTTGAACAACAATACAAGCAGCGTGGCCTGAATAATTTCGTAGCCAAACACTCGTCCTTTATCTTCGCAGCTATAGGTATGTCCCTTTACCGACAAGCCAAACAGGAAGTCCAACGTATTATAACACAAGAAAAAAAGTTGGCTACAGACACATGCTCACAGAAGGTCATTAAGGCCTTTTCTTATAAGATCCATCAGTCTGGAGAGTGACGATAATTTTTTACGATATTCCACCTATCTGCTGGTCCAATAAACGGCCAATCTTTCACTCTTGGCTTCTTGAATTGCTCTTCCACCTTCACTCATTTCCGAGACAACATTTTCATTTAGATAGAGATATTTTAATGTTGTATTTTGCTTCAGTCCTTGGGCTAAAGCTTTAGCTCCCATATCTGTAATTTGATTTCTATTCAAAGCAAGAAAATTCACGGTTCGATTCACTGCCAACATTTTACCCAAGGCTTTAGCTCCTTCGTCTCCTATCTGAGACTCTGTTAGACCTAGATTTTCCACTGACTGATTCCGTCTAAGTGTTGTAGCAATTAAAACTGCCCACTGGTCATCAATATTTCTTCCTCTAAGTGAGATCACGCCCGTTCTCGTTGTTTCGATTAGGTTACTAAGATATTGAGCACTTCTGGCTGTAAGCTGAAGATTTGTAAATAACCATAACAGATTTATATTTGATTTGTCCTTCTTCAACTCGTTTATGAGAATTTCAAGGTCACCATCGGTCAAACTAGAGTCTCCGATTTTTAACCTTACAAGTGTTCTGTTTACTCTAAGGACACTGACCAACGTTTGTGTACAGATTGGTCCACTTCCACTGAATTCAATTCCAAATATATTGTTATTTGTCTTTAATGATGCGACAACCTCTTCCAGACATTCCATCGAGATATCTTTCGGTTTAATCTCCAGCGTTTCCAAATTTGAATTTAGTTTCAGCCCATTACGAATAGCTATTGCTTCAGACAACGATAAATTTTTTTCGAGTGTTAATGTCATGTCATATCCGGCTAGTCTACCAACCCCAGCTGTGTTCGATTTCAAGTTAGCTACGAGTATTTTTACTTCGTCAGACAGTTCTAAAATGGAAAAAAATAAGAATTTGTTAAGCAACCAGTGAGAACTGTAACTTTCGAGTTGCGTAGAGAAATGGCCTACGATGCGAGCTATAAGTGAATATCTTATTCTGGAGAAATTTTTGAACGTTGAGACTTATGTAGGACTGCATTCTGTGCAGGAACCGTTCAGATCTATGGTGAGAGAACGAGAGTCGGAGGTACGAAATTATAGGCTAACGTTGGATTCCTTTCGGCCCGCTTAAAAACCCGACTCTGACCAATAATAAATTCATAATATTTTTTTTAACCTCAGAATCATGTTATCTCACCAATGAAGTACGGGATTCATTAAGTCTAAACAGTGCTCCGTGCACAGACTGCTCGCGGCACTCCTAAGGGCAGCTGTGACTCAAAACTTATCTCCCCCAGAGCTCTCCAATTATAATTTAGAAAAAACTTCATCTATAGTCTTTATAAGTTACCGACTCACCTGTTTCTTGTGCCGTGCTTATCCATTCGCTAACATCACTAAATGCACTGAGACAAATTTTATCAACTGATTGGACTTTGAACCGAAACGGTGTTGCTGACGGTAGATTTTCGATCAATATTTGTTTCTGGCTGTCGCTTGTACTGATTTCCTTCCAAATGTCTGAATCTTGGCTCTGAAATAAGAGTCTGTAATTTCTCACGACTTCTGAGCCCTGATCATCGTTCAACCATTCCAGTATAATGCCATCAGGTTTCACTGTCTTTGCCGTTGGTGCACCTATAAAAAACGATTAAAAGTGATGTTATTGAAAAAGGGAGTAAAGGTTCGAGTAGAATGGGCAAAGAAGTTTTAACTAAGTGAGCGACTCGGCTAACTACGAAAATCACTACTTTGATAATTGCGACATTTTTGAAAATAGTAAATCGCAAGCACCGTTCTAAATTTCAGAAAACGAGGGAAAGATGTTCGTATATGACTGCGAATCACCAGTAATTCGGCTTTTTAGTCTTCGTAGCTGAAACGTAGTCTTGACAAATTAGAAGGAAGACTTCCCATCTGCCCCCTGCTCATTTCCCCCGAAATTCATTCCAGACTGGATTCCCGGGGCGACGGGGGAATTATGTGTAAAATCCAAACTCGATGGGTACTCGGGGTATCCCATCATACCCTACGGC